CTTCTTGTTTGCCTAAGCAACAAAAAAGAAGTGACAGTCTTCAGAGAGAGATTTCCAGTATCAAGTGACCTTTGGCAAATTGAAGCATTTGCCACATTTCCCGTATTCATAAAGCCCAGGTGATCTTTTCTCAGAATCAGTAGCTTCAACAGCACTTTAGCACAGAGACGACAAGAGTAACGTTTCTAATTTGCTGATTTTTTATATTGTCAAACAGGCCCTGTACTTCTATGACTGGCATTATTGTTTTTCTAAATGTTTGACTGCAACTATATTATATTGTTAGCAGTGGACACTTTCCCCCCCTTCTCTTCTTGCACGCCTGCTTCCGTCCAGCTGGGGGCTGGCTGAGGAGCGGACAGGACAACAACGACGTCACGGAAAAGCCCTGCATCTGATCAGATGGGCTTAATATAAACCAGGTTTGCTGAGAAAGAATTAGAGAGGCGGCCCCAGAAGAGAAGAAGGATTTCCTGCAGGAGGCTGGTTGGAAATTCAGCACTCGGAGAAGAAGGGAGTGTGGCGGAACGCCTGGTCAAAAACAAGGTAGTGTCTGCTTAAGGAGCATTCGTTTGAATGCTTTTCATACTCTAGACATGCAAAAAAAAAAAAAGATTAAAATGTGCAGCTTGAGACTTGCACCTAACTTTATTTCTTTGTTGGATTAGACTGCTAAATAACAGCACAAGTAGTATGTACCATGTGGTCAGCAGTTTCCTTCTCCATCCTTTGCAGACAGTAGATAAATAGAGCCATGCATCTTTTGCACAGAGATGGATTTGAGATCTGTCAAACATAGCCCTTCCTTGAAAAAGTGGATGTGACCAGAGTAGTAAAGGATGAGTTTGTTTTGCATGGCATCTTGTATCTTTCTGCACCCAGTGGTTCTTTACATCTTTGCATGTCTCTCAAAAGACGGGAGGTCAAATGTGTGAATTCTGCAGGGAGCCGGCAAAATACATGGAAGAGTTTGCAAATAACTCTAAGAGAAGTTTGTGGATTTGCTCTGTATATTTCTTTCCAACAGTGACTGAAGATGCACACAGCTTGTCTGAATGGCACAAGAAGTGCATGCTCTGGGAGAGTGGCAAACTTCTTTTTGCAAAACAATGGCACATGAAGTTTGAAAATGGCCTTCACCTCTCTCTGGGACAAACGGTTCCTTTGTGAGCTAGAGAGACATGATGTGAGCTGAGACAGCTTCAGCTGAATAAGCAAAATGTCTAAATAGCTGTCACTGTGGGAGCTGGAGAGCATCAAAGTAACTTTCCTAAAAATGGTAGCTGCAAATGATATTGGCCATCAGGAATTATCTCATTGCATTTTGTCTCGAACCAAAGTTGAGGAGTTATTCCCTACCAAGTGTAATGAAAAGCCGTCTTTAGACAAAAGAAGAAAACCTGTCTGGCTCCTTCTGCATTGGATTAGGTCTCTTCTGGCTGATCGACCTTTTTTGCACAATAAGCATGCAGCCCTTATTCATAGGGGTGCTTCCCTCATGGACTTTACGTTGTAATTGATAGTTTAATAAGCAGAAAAGTCTTGAGGTCTTCAGTGCTAACTGGAACCAGAACTGAGCAAAAGAAAAGAATTTTTAAAGTGGTAAATAATAATGTTGGTTTCTGAACCAGAATGCAAATGAAATTACGTGATTTCAGTTAGTGAAAAATGAACCCAAAGTAATTGCTTTGTGTGGCCTGATACCAAATTTCTTCCTTCAAATATTCACTCCCGACCTCTCACCCCCCAAGGATTTGTAGCACTTTGGTGGATCCCCTGTGTACTGATTCAGAACTTTGATCATCCACAAATCATGAGTCCAGACAAAGAAAGAGGAATCATCCCCATTCAAAATTGCTGCTACTAGATGAGGACCACCATTGCAGGGCCATCACCTCTATAACAAGACTTCACATCTACAATGAGATACTTTCTTTTCGGAAAGTCATTCCAGATGGATAGCCATATTGGACCATAGCAGTAAAATAAAACAGGAGTCCAGTGGCCCCTTAAAGACTAACAAAATTTATCCCATCATAAGTTTCTATGAGTCAGAGCTGACTCATGAGATCAACTGATGAAGTCAGCTCCAACTCACAAAATCTTATGAAGGAATCAGTGTTGTCAGTCTCGAAGGAGACGCTAGACTCCTGTTTTCCTTTTCAGGTAGTGTGTCTCTCTGCTACCCTCCTTGTAGTAATACTATTGGGAAGTGCTCAGTAAAATGTTAGGTACCAAGCTAAGCTGGGTTGGCCCTGGTTAGTACTTAGACAGGAGACCATCACAGAGTTCAGAGTTGATACAGGCAGAACGTAGATTGCAGGCAGTGGCAATCCACCTCTGTTCATTTCTGGTCTTGAAAACCCCATGGTCAGCTGTGATTTCTAGAATCATAGAGTTTGAAGGGACCTTCAGGGTCATCTAGTCCAAGCAACTGCACAATGCAGGACATTCACAAACACCTCACCCCCACACTCCCAGTGACCTCTGTTCCATGCCCAGAAGATGACAAAAAATCTCCAGGATCCCTGGCCAAACCTGACCTGGAGAAAAATAGCTTCCTGACCCCAAAGTGGTGATCAGCATTTCCCTGGGCATGTAAGAAAGGGCCACAAGAACTAAGCACTGATGCAACCCTTCCTGCCCTCCCTCGCATGATCTGCCTAAGTTCACAGAATCCGCATGGCTATCAGATGGCTGTCTAGCTTCTGTTTAAAAACATCCAAAGAAGGAGAGCCCACCACCTCCTGAGGAAACCTGTTTCACTGAGGAACCACTCTGTCAGGAACTTCTTCCTAATGTTTAGCCGTTTGATGGCACTTTACACCCACACACACCCAGGAAGCTCAGAGGCAGATGTATGAAACACACCTAATCAGCCAGATGAGGTGTGCCGTGGTTCATAAACTAGCGATGCCTGAGAAGTGTGACAGTGCCGTTTTTCTTTAGCAGGTAGGGAGAAAAGCCATGACACTGAACAATGTCACGATGCGTCGCAGCAGTGGTGCCTTGCAGCCACCCCAACAGCGCTGGAGCATCCCAGCAGATGGGAGGCACCTGGTGGTCCAGAAAGACCCTCACGAGTGCCTTCGACAGAAGAGGTACACCATCAGTCCTGAAGAGTACTACCGAAGAAGCTGGTCTTCCGAATCTTCTGATTCTGTCATCTCCTCTGAGTCAGGAAATACCTTCTATCGTGTGGTCCTCATCGGGGAACAAGGAGTCGGCAAAACCACCATAGCGAATGTCTTTGCAGGGGTGCATGACAGCATGGACAGTGACTGTGAAGTGCTAGGAGGTAAGCACCGTGCCGGCTGTGGCGTACTGAAAGCCTCTCACGTAAGCACTCATTAGCATTAGGAAACATCAACATAGATGGAGTGGGAGATCCTGACACTGATGCCGTGATTCTCTTGGCTTCAAGACACAGTTATCTAGTAAGCTTGAAAGCTGGGAGGGGGATAAGAGAGATTATAGATCAGGTATTTTCCTCTTAGAGTTTTAAATCTGTTGAAGTTTATATAAACAAAAGATGCGGTCTCAACAAGAAACTGAATTATACTGAAACTAGAAGGACTTGTTTTCTAAAACCAATGGCTGTAATATTAAGCTATACATGTGTGTAGGAAGTACATATGGTTCTGTGTGATCTGGGTCTCTCTTATAATGAGGAGAAAGGGTGTGGTCATGTTAGGAAAGACTGCAGATCGGGTATTTGCTCGGAACTTTAGCTTATCACCTGGGTAGGGGCTGTGGAGGCCATTGATTGCTGGACCCTCTGCTGCATGGGTGTCTTCCTGCCCTAGTTTCCTGCCCTAGGCTCAATACATGACCCTCCTCCCAGCATATTAACTCTCTTGGCACATTCTTAGTCACAAATCAATTCAAGCAATCAACAGTGCAAACCTAACAGAGTTGAAGTCAATGGGCTTAAAAGGGTGTAACTCTGTTTAGGATTGCACTGTAATAAAGGGCCAGAAAAGAGGTTGTGGCATCCATGGGTCTGGCTCATGGATGCTGCTGCCATTTTAGAACTGAACTTGGGCCATTTAGAAATGCCACTAGGGCCTGATCCTGATTGTGTGGGGAGTCTGGGTGATCATGTTTCCCCTGTGTGCCTTTTCATGTGCTGAAGCAGTGGCATTTTTAAATGACACAAGTTCACCTCTAAAATGACGGTGGCCTGCATGGGTTGAACGCCTGGATGCTATGTTTAGTTTGGCCCAAATTGTTACTCATGTCTCAAACATCCATTACAAATCCAAATAGAATGAAAAACACAAAAGTTGCTAGCAGAAACAACAGGCTTAAAAATCTGTCCTTATGGATAAACTAAATTCTACTGAGAGACAATTAATTTAACACAACATGAGAAAGAAGACACATAGTGGGATGGAATTTAGTTAGTATTAAATGATTATTCGTCGTTTAAAGGTAAAGTCGTAATCTCTCTTCCAGTGTTCCAATCCACACTGTATTAGCAATTACCAACGAGCAACTGAAATAATAGGTTGGATCCTAGCATAAAAGGGAGGACACACAATTGCCTGTCCCAGGTGGCTTTTTGCCTGTGGAGTCCCATAATCCTGGACAGAGCCTTTTGGGAAGTCAGAAGGTGCCCCTCTTCCCTCTTGTGCCAGCAGGAAACCTGACAGGATCTAACCCACAGTAGTCATATTGAAAGATGTTCCCAACTGAATTAAGAGATTAAGAAAGGTTTTGGGTTTTTTATTGTTGTTAAATTGGCCAACGCCATTCATACTTACCAGGATGACAGATATTTGATCAAATCCAGTGAGGTCACTCGTGTCCAAGCACTTGACAGGCCATTGCTCTGTTTAATATGTAAACATCAAACCAATGATTCAGAGTTTAGAACATTAGAACTCCTTCAAATAAGTCACATTTAGTTTGACTATTGGGACGGGACTAGGCCAGGATCCAGAACTACCAACAATGGGACTACGTCAGGATCCATAACTATCAACAATTTACAACCCAAAACATTAACATGTCTTAGATCAAAATCATGTATGCATTATAAAACATAGGGGGAGTTGAATTTATTTATTTATTTATTTATTTATTTATTGGATTTCTACCCCACCCTGAGGCCATGCTGAGGCAAATGCTTAGAATAGTTTTTCTACTGGTTCAGCACACCAAGAACAGGCTCACATGTGAATTCAGTTATTATTAACCTGGCGATGTCAGTTCTTTGTCCATTTATGACTTGGGCCTGACTTGCAGTGGCACCTATTAATTCTGTTGGTGTACTACCATTCTTTGCCACCATTACCCAAAGCATTGTCTCAACAGGTTATGAGCTAGGCTAGGGTGGCATTACCCTAACTTCTCCAGTGCTCTTCTCACAGCTAGGGTAAACTAGAGATGATTCCTAAGTATGAACCGTCTTCAAAACAGACTCTAAAATGGCTGAAACATCTTCCAGAAGTAACAGTTTAGGCAGCCCTGTTCTTTTTCTCATAATCATTAGTGCTTGAGTGTTTACTTTTGGCTGTTTGAGTCTACCATAAGTCTCTTAAAAAAGGGTAATTCAGTGCTCCATAATGTTTCATTATAGAAACACAAACAAGAAAATCAGCTCAGCACACATTTGGTACCACTGAAGACAGGGTAACCGTATTAGTCTACAGTTGCCAACTTCCAGGTGGGGTTCTGCTGGAATTACAACTGATTTCCAGACTACAGAAATCAGTTCCCCGGGGAGAAAACAGCAGCTTGAGAGAGTTGACTCTGTATCATATCCCTGCTGAGTTCCCCCCTTCTAAGGTTGCCAGGCATGTTGGCAAACAGAAGATGATGGGGGAGGTGGGAACGTAGAGTTCAGGAAGTGATCAGCACCTGCCACAATGACATCACTTCTGGCATGACCCAGAAATGATATCATTGTCTTGGGGGGGTGGGGGCGCTCTAGCATTTGCCCAAAACTCTCTGGATTAACCATAGGGTTTTGTGTAAATGCTAGGCCACCACCTGATAGAATGACATCACTTCTGGGTTGTGCCAGAAGGGATGTTATTGCACTGGGTGATGCAAATCATCTCTCCACATTTTGCCCAGCGATCTCCTTCTTCCACCTAGCTGAGAAGTCATAGCCAGAGATGATGAGCGGAGGAGGTCTCCTGCTATGCCTGGAGATCTGGTAACCCTGCCCCTTTCCTAAACACAACCCTCCCCAGGCTCCACCCCCCCAAACCTCCAGGAATTTCCCAGTCTGAAGTTGGCAACTCTAACATGAGGCCTGGAATTCTCCCAGAGTTACAACTAATCTCCAGAGAGGTCAGTTCCTCTGGAAGAACTGGCCTCTTTGGAGGCCAAAAATTATGGCATCAAATCCTTGTAGGGTTGCCAGGTCCAATCATCGCACCAGAGGGGGAGGGACTTTCCGGAAGTGGGGAGGAGCATTGTGACGTGCCTACATAAACTGGAAGTGATATAGGCACGTGCGGGGGTTGGGTTGGGCAAAACTTTATGGTAAAATTTGCTTCAAATCACAGGGTTTTGCCCAAAAACGAGAGCATCACCCCCCCCATGTGCCTACGTCATTTCCGGTTTTTGTAGGCATGTCATGATGATTTCCAGGTTCCTGCTGGTAAGAGGGGGGATTTGGGGGGGGGGGGAGAGGAACCCCTGAAACCAGGAGACCTCTGTCCGGACCAGGGGGTCTGGCAACCTTAAATCCCTGCTGAGCTTTCTCTCCAAACTCTGCCCCCCCCGGGGCACTGCCCCCAAATATTCAGGAATTTCTTAAGACAGTTGGCATCCCTTATCAGTCTGCTTCAGCAAAACGAAACAGGAATCATGGGGCACCTTAAAGACATTTTACTATAGCACAAGTTTTCATGAAGTAAAGCCCATGTTGTTGTTGTTTAATCAGGCATACCCTGGCTTTGAGCAGACAGTTTATTTCTTTGGCATTGACTAAAACAATTATTGTGAATTTATTCATTAAAAAAGAGTCAGGTCTTACCACCAAGGAAAGTTATATACACAAAGAGACAATGGCTGATTTCCCACAAGCTGCTGCTCCGCGCTCGTTCCTCCCTTTGCCCCGATGGTACCTGTCAATTTCACACTATGTGCTGCGCAGCTGGCCGCATTTTGCCCCGCAGCTTCGCGTGATTTCCCCCGCGTCTGCTCAATCCTGTTTTTTTAGGATTGAGTAGATGCGGGGGAAATCGGGCGAAGCTACGGAGCAAAATGCGGCCGCGCAGCACATGGTGTGAAATTGACGCTACGATCGGGGCAAAGGGAAGAGCGAGCGTGAAGCAGCAGCTTGTGGGAAATCAGCCAATAGAACATAAAATACACCTAAGGAAATAGTTTCTTATCAAGAAGCAAAGGTAGACTTTGTTCTTCCCACCTACAAGGCAACAGAAATATCAAGCTGGGAATCCTGTTGTGCAGATCACATGGGGGGGGGGTGTTCCTTGCCAGGGGTTTTCCTCAGCATGTCTTACTGTGGATGAAAATTGGAGCCTTAAACTTTAATTATTCCTAGAACTAACAGGCATTAGGCTGTCCTTGCTTATTATGTGTCAGGGAAGGAGGAGTAAGTGGAGGCAAAGAAGATTATCAAGATGATGGGGAGGAAAAGCAGCACAGGGAGCCCCTCCTGCAGGTGATTCTTCGTGTTGTGGCCACGGCCCGACAGAGAGCGCTGACATTGCATTTCTAAGCAAAGTTACACTCTCGTAGGTAAGACCATTGGAGTCAACAGGCTTAGAAGGGTATAACTGTTTAGGATTGTACTAAGACATATCTTCTACTGAGCTATCTTTTCTGGAAGGGCTTCTGCCATTTTTAATACTGCCTTACCTGCAAAAAATGAGGCAACAATGTCTTTCCAGTTAAGATACAATGAGAGGAAAATCAAATAGGAGTCTGGTGCTACCTTAAAGACTCCAGTTTTCTTTTGCTGCTACAGACTAAGATGGCTGCCCTTACAGTCATGGGGAAAATATCTCCAGCTGAATTTATGCCAGTTATGCACAGGAGCACTGTAGAAAAAGAGCTGGCTAACCTACAGAGAATAGCAGCCAAAGATATTCAATTTTAATGTTTTGTTTAAACGACTTCATTAAGATGTCTTTATTCCTTCGGAGTTTATTTAAAACGTGTTTCCTGTACTGTGTCCCATTCCATAGGGGCATGTGGCTTCCCAATTTTTTAAAAAGTCTGAAACTGAAGATAGAAAAGAATAAATTAATAAAAAATATATTAATAGCTGTAGTTCCAGAGGCCCTGCAATTTTCTGAATTATGTGAATTATTATATGTATGTCTGCTTTAGAACATAATCTTTACCCTGAAGTAAGTGAAACCTTTCACAGACACGTGAAACTCACAGGAAACGTATAGCTATACCAAGTATTTTCACATATTTATCATTTTGACATATTTATCCTAATTTTTGTTACATTTGTTAAAGAGAGAGAGAATAGCCAGATTAGCATTTGGGATTTCTTTCAGTCATCTCCCTTTGCTTCTTCATGTTTCTACCCCATGCTCAGGCAGTGGCACTGGCTGTTCACCCATAAACTGAGTGAAAACAAATATTTTCCATTACTAAGCCTCGATGGAGACTGTACGTCTGTCTGTTGCTCCCATGAGGTCAAATGTTCAGTGTTTGGTTTATTTCTTCCAGTGGGTCTTCTTCTTCCACTTATTATCCTTCTTAGGATAAAGATAACTTAAGCAAAAAAGTGAAACTTGCGGATTTCAACATTTGGATCATGGAAGTTATGACAACATGTAGCTCTTGGCCAGAGACTGCTATCTGAATAACAAATATAACATAATTCTTTTCAGGATTTTTCCTGAGGCAAAAAAAAAAAAAATCCCCACAGGATTCTGGTCTTCACTGCTGCATGCATGGAGAACTGAGGGGGGAGGTACAGTGAAAGTAAAGGGAATTTACAATGTTTTCACTTTCTTTATTTAGATTTGTATCCTACTCTTGCATTTTTCCAAGGAGCTCAGGACACACATGATTTCCCCTGTTCTATGCATAACCTCACAATAACCTTGCAAGGCTGGTTAGGCTGAGAAGCTGTCGTCATGTGGTTTTCATGAAATGCATTTTAAAACAAATTTAGAATCCAATGGCACCTTTAAGAACAACATAGGTGCCACTGGACTCTAAATTTGTTCTGCGGCTTCAGACCAACATGGCTCACCAACTGGATACATTTTAAAAATATTCAAATGCAGTTCTGACTGCATCCACTAGGGGTGCAGGGAAGGCAGAGCACAGCAAAGAACAAGGCCTTTCTCCAAGGTTTACCTCACAGCTGAGGGAAACTGCTGATCAGATCTTGCTAAACCCATCCACCAAACCTGCACTGGAGCAAGGCAAGACCAGCCAGGACAGGATGCAGTCTCCTAAAAAGGTCTATGGTTTCCCTTTTCCTTTAGTTCCACCCAGCTCCTGCACAGACAGATCTTTCCAAGAGGCAGCCTTGCTAGTGAGTGGTAGCTAAAAAGAAAAATAGAACCTTTCATTGTCTTTTCCTACATTCTCTAACCCATTTCCACATCTCCTCCTTCATTTTGCTCTCCTCCTTTTATGATCTACCATTCATCTATCCCCACTTCTAATTTTTCTCCCCCATCCCTTTATTTTTCAGTCTTAATGCCTTCTCACCCATCCTGGCAAGCTTAATAACCTATCTAGGATAGCGTATCTCTCAAGTTCTATCAGGCAGCCTCAAAGGTTCCGATGGGACTCTAGAAAGTATGCTGGTTTGTGCTCACAAAGAGAAATTATTGCACCTTACGTCCTTTATATATACCAGGGTCCTTGAAAAAGATTGTATTCGAAATGGGTAAATTACTAGATTCCTGTGGGACTACTGGTTGTGAAACTGACAAGGGGCTGTTTGAATGTTTGAACAGAATGTAAACCTGCGCTTTGATGTATTGTTTGGGTAAAACCTATTTTTGATCATATTTGATACCAATATTTATATAACAGTATAGAAAAACAACAAAAAGAAAAATAAAAAGCACAAAATTGATCTACCTTAAACGTACATCTATTATACACAGTGCTATATAGTTTTGCATATCTTCCTAACACTGGTGACCCTCAGTTTTTGTGTTATTGACCACCTGGAGGTTGGCAACCCTAACATATATGAAGAGTTAATTTTGTTTTCAAAGCTTGAATGGAAATAAGGAAACCCCCCCTTTATTCATAACAAGCTGTAGAATGTTCAGACTTCTACCATAAAATAAATTAGAAGTATTTTGAAGTTTTGAGTCGCACCAAACTCTTTATTAGGCAGAATGGAAAGTAGCTTGCCCAACCGAAAGTGCTGTCTGAAGAAGTGAGCAGTGATTCACAAAAGCTCCTCCCCTGCCACACATTTTGTTAGTCTTTAAGGTGCTTCTGGACTCTTGTTCTTTTCTACTGCTACAGACAAACACATCTACCCATCTTGATCTCAAAAGTGCTGTGACACTCTACATTCCTATGCTCTTATACTACCCAAGTCAGTCAAATAAGAATAAGATAACATTGCGTATACTTTGGGAGCAGCGGTACAGCCATCACTGTCTGAGAAATTACCATGCAGTTCTATCATTAGGGCAGTGATCTTTAAACTTTTCAGACTGGGGGTGCTACCTCTCCCTCCTGCCCTAGCAACAGCGTAGGCCCACTGAGTTGCAGGTACGTGACAGGAAATAACATGCTGTCAAAGTCACATGACAGGAAAGGGGGGTTCCTGTGCTAAAAAGGAATTCTCTCTATCACTGGGCAATTTGACCTTGCTCTCCTACTGCTCCTGCAGCAGACATGCAAAAAAGGGGAGGACAGTGATGTCCTTGTTTTCGGCACAGTTGTAGCAGTTCTTTCCAAAAAGCAATAAATAAAAGTGGCTTTATAGGGGTTCTTGAATGACCTAAAGGTCCCAACCCATAACTTGGAGACCACTGTGTTATGAGATCAGATGAGCAAGGTAGAATTTTCCCTTCACCAGCCAGTGTCTCCCTTTAGTTTGAATAACCTAAGAAAATGGTGTTTAATGTTTCCTTATTATCACAGTGATAGTTTTACTGTTATTTGTATACCCCACATATTGTAATTGTATCATACTTTTTGTATTGTTCAGTTGTAATTTCTTGTAACAACAACAACAATAATAAAGTTAATGGTGATATGTAATTAGCATATTACTAACAGTGTATGGGGTTTTTCCCCTCCCCTTCTAGAAGACACCTATGAACGAACCTTGCTGGTAGATGGCGAAAGCACAACCATCATGCTTGTTGACATGTGGGAAAACAAGGTGAGTGTGACATTCATTTGTCGGAATGCTTCTGTATACAGTCTGTTTTTGATATCTGTGACAAAGGGAGCTTTGACTCTCAAAAGCTCATACCATGAAAATTTTGTTGGGCTCGAAGGTGCCCCGGGACTTGAACCTTTTCACCTGCAGACCAATAGAGCCACCCTTTGAAACTATTTTTTATATATTTTATATATACACACACACACACATATATACCAGGAGTAAGGCCTGTTGTGGGAAGAAATACAACAAGCTCTAGAAGGAAGCTCCAGGTGAGTGTCCCAGCTGTGGCTGGTGGGGTGGCAGAGGGAAGGGAAAAATAGAGGGAGGCAAGCCATGTTTATTTCTTTCTGCTTAGCTATAAGGCAGGTCTGACAAGTGGGTAGTATGGGAGGACAGCCTCATGGTAACAGGTATGGTTCCCTCCACCCCTGACTTATGTTGATTTGGGGTTATGCAGTGGCAGCTAAGGTAGAAAAGCACCTCCTCCTATGCCATGTCTTCTGGGTTCCAAGGGTCTGGAAAGCGGTTCCATAGCCAGTTACAGGGTTGCCAACTCTGGGTTGGGAAATACCTGTAGATTTGAGGGGTATTTTTATTCTTTATTTTATTAATTCAATTCCCTTCCTCGACCACGATGACCTGGCTACGGTGATCCACGTGATGGTCACCTTGAGACTAGACTACTGTAACGCTCTGTACATGGGGCTGTCCTTGTCGCAAATTTGGAAGCTGCAGCTAGCGCAGAATGCCGCAGCCACTTAAACCACTTCCACGCTGTCATTTTTGTCACTCGTTTGTCCCCATAGCTTCAGGGATTCCCCCCCCCCCATGTTTTTTGCTCTTTCTAGTAGTCCCAGAGGGGGCAAAAAATATGTGGAAAATGAGGGGGGACCCAAAGCAATAGGGACAAACGAGTGACAAAAATGACAGTGTGGAAGTGGCAAGATCTGAGAAAATTGGTAGATGTACATCAGCTTGCTATGCAAAAACATAGCACCTTTCATGAGAAAAAGAGACCAGGCTGAAATATTCGCTTGTATACAATGTTTAAAAGCACAGGAGCCTGGTTGTTACCTTAATGTGTACAGAGTGTTTTTTCCCCCTCTTTCCCCTTGGAAATCACAGCTAGCCATTCTAGGACTGAAATTAAGGGCAAGGGGATCTTGAGGTTCAAAGCGAGGATTTGCATGCAGGCTACAGCCTCCAAAGTAGGGTTGCCAACCTCCAGGTGGGGCCTGCAGTGCTCCCAAAATTAAAACTGATCTCCAGACTACGGAAATCTGTTCTCCCTGGAGAAAATGAGTGTTTGGAGTGAAAACTCTATGCCATTATACCTTGCTGAGGGCCTGCCTCTCCCCACACCCTGCCTTTCCTAGGCTTTGTCCCCAAATCTCTAGGAATTTCCCGATCTGGAGTTGGCAATCCTAACCAATGGCCTTCCTAACAGCACCTGTAATGTAGCTCTGACCTCCGTACCACAATAATGAACACTTTGTTGACTGTGGCTCTGCATGTTCCAGTCATACAGCCTTTTCTTTAATGGCTCCCAGTTCACAAGGTCAGAAGTTCACTCAGTGTGATTGTTTTATTTGAACAGGGTGCAAATGGATGGATCCAAGATCACTGCATGCAGATTGGCGATGCCTATCTGATTGTCTATTCTATCACGGACCGTGCAAGCTTTGAGAGAGCATCAGAGCTCAGAATACAGCTCCGCAGGATCCGTCAGGCAGAAAACATCCCCATCATTTTAGTGGGCAACAAAAGTGATCTAGTTCGGTGCCGTGAAGTCTCCGTTGCAGGTATGAACCCTTAGATGGTGACTGGTAATCCTGCTTTGGCAGCTTTTATTTCGACTCTCTCCAGAGGGTCTGTAATTTTAAATATGCCTCTGTTAAAAGCTATTATACTTTTGCAGATTTTAGGAGGAAGCACTTAGATGCAGAGTCTATGACCAAGCTTGCACTGGGTCATGCCGCTGCAGCTGCAAGAACTTCCCAGATAGAGGGGTTTAAAACATCTGAATCAGCCTATAATCTGCACAGGGTGACATACATTGTTCTGGTAGATCTTCCTTAGTATGTCAGTGTACTATTTTTTTAAAATGTTAATAATATGTGCCATGGCTCCTCGCGCAAAATTGTACCTAGCACAGGAGTACGTCTATCTTTATACTATTATTGATCCCTCATCTTTTATGCATTCATTTAACTTTGACTTTTCTTAAAGAATTAAACTATGTCCAAAGTTAATTTGGAAAATGCCATAAAATTGCCAAATGTGGCTCAATAGCATACTGTTTGGATCAGAGTTTGATCTAGCTGGGCATAAATCTTAGGAAAAACTCAACTGCTTATGAACAGAATATCAGTGGAATTTTTGTAAGGAAGTCATAGAATCCCTGTGCTTAAAGGCTTTCACAAAAATGTTTGGACAGTTATTGTGATTACACCAGGCAAGTCTGGAATGTCCTGTTTTTCTATGACCGCCCTGAGAATTTCTCCTCAGCTTGATTTATGTGAAATTTCTGAAGTCAGAGGAGAAAGCTGTGGCTGGGCAGGATTTCCATTGGCTGAAGAGCAGGGCTTCAGCATGCTGTATAGTGTCATCTTTTCTGAAGAATGGCAAACACGGAATAAATCATGCAAAATAAATGTTTGCAGATGTGATCAATATGCATACTCTATGAAGCCATTCTGTTCAGCTTTTATGAGCACCAGATTTGGCTTCCATTACTGCAGACCGTGGTGCTGTCAGGGCTGGTATGAAAGTCGGGGCCACCTTGGCTCAGCAGGAGGGTAGGGCCCCAGATGCAGCTGTACCTAGAGAACACAAGATAAGCCATGTTGGATCAGGCCAATGGCCCATCTAGTCTAACACTCTGTGTCTCAAGGTGGTCGAGACCCAGGTGCCATTAGGAGGTCCGTCAGCAAGAGATGGGTGTGTTCCTTCTCTAGCTCAACATCTTTCTTCTCCCTAGTTCTTCCCCTGTCATTCTGGGAAGTGAGCATTCAGGGAACCGCAACATTAACTATTAGGTATTCTAGAAGTGACAATTCCTAGAATGCACTAGAGGACAGAAGGAGAGGAATAAAGAACCATGTAGGGATGACACTTTAATGGGTTTCTTTCCTGTCATCTCCCTCCCACAGCCAGCATATCACTCTTCATTCATTTTCTTAGACAACGTCCCAAACTCCAGTTTCTCCACGTAGGATTCTGACATATACCCTTTAACTGTTTTGCAGAGGGCAGAGCTTGTGCTGTCGTATTTGACTGTAAATTCATTGAGACTTCGGCAGCTGTCCAGCACAATGTGAAGGAGCTGTTTGAAGGGATTGTGCGTCAAGTGCGGCTCAGAAGAGACAGCAAAGAAAAGAATGAGAAGAGGCTGGCATACCAGAAGAGGAGAGAGAGCGTTCCTAAGAAAGCCAGGCGATTCTGGGGCAAAATCGTTGCCAAGAAAAACAAGAACATGGCTTTCAAACTTAAGTCCAAGTCTTGCCACGATCTTTCTGTCCTTTAGGAATATCAACCCATTCCAGATGTTCTTTTTCATGGACATGACTCAACTCCATATCGAACAATAAATCAATCTATATTAGATTGGCCAACAAGCAGCGTAAATTGACTTTGATTCACAGTTGTGATTATTGTGATGAAATGTGCCAGCAATAAGCACAGCCTAATGCATGCATGGAAGAAGAAAAATTCATTCATACTTGTTTTCATTTATAGTTTAAATGTCTGTGTAGGTGTGGCAGTAAACAGCTTTGTCTTAAACACAAGAACATTCCACACTTACAAGGAGATGTATTCCTGTTGTTGCCTTTGGACAATGGCCCAAGAATTGGAAAACGCCATTTGGGGAATGAGTGATATTTTTCATTGTTATTTTTGTTGCTAATTTTTGTAAACAGAAATTTGTCAGCCTGTGAAAAGGGAAATGGGCATTCTTAGAGATACCTTCTTCCCAGCCAACCAGTTGTTTTGATTTTCTTAAGTGCCCACAGCCGAATCTCTGTTGTTATGACATAATCAGTCCCAGTGGCTAGGGAGGCATCAACAACATTCAGGCCATCAGATGTCTGGATCAATGGGGAGCAAATGTTTACACAGGGTGACATCATCATGGGACTGTTATGGAGGAATGGCGTAGAAGCCAGAGTGGAACCAGACAGGAGAGAGATCATGGAGCATGTTGGTCAGATAATAGCTAAACAGAAGCCTGATTTGGACTGGGACCACATGGGGCTGGTTCAAGGGATTTTGACACCCTAAGAAAGATACACCCATTGCCTCCTTGGTCACTGCTGGCCAAATTCAGGAGAATGACCATCCCTGCCTTCTCTGCTGATGGGCACAAGTGAACTAAACCCCTGGGGTGAGGTGGCGCCCTCCTCATTGTGTGACTTCAAAGAGTTGCTTGGGTGGTTTGGCCACAGAACTGGCCCTGGAATCATGGAGGGAAGGAAGAGGGAGTTTAACTCTTTCACGCCTGCGTAGTTTCAAAAATCATTGCCACTACCTATGCTATAAGAATGTAAAGGGGGGGGGAGAGAAGTTTGCTACTCATCTTTCATTCACTTTAAAGCACAGGGAGCCTTGTCGTTTTGATTTGCAAGAACACAAGGGGGTGAAAGGTTAAACCTCTTCTGCAGGGCCACAGTCTGAATTAGGGCTGCGTGCAGCTGTAAGAGGGCTTTAAAATGTCGTCTGCAGTAGAAGAGCTAGATTGGAGTCCAGGAGCACCTGAGAAACCAAAAAGATTTTCGGGGTAGGAGCTGGTATCTGACTAAGGGGCTTTGACTCTTGACAGCTCTTATATCCTGAGAAGCTCTAAGGTGTTACTGGGCTCAAATCTAGAGCTTTAAGACACTGAGAGGATCCAGTAACCTCCCTCTCAGTGTCTGGTCTGTTTTTACCCTGTTCCTAAGATCTAAATGAAGGAGATGCCACTACTTAACTAAAGGTAAAGGTTTCCCTTGCTCGAAAGCCAGTCGAATCCGACTCTAGGGTTGCGGTGCTCATCTCCGTTTCAAAGCCGAAGAGCCAGCGCTGTCCGAAGATGTTTCCGTGGTCATGTGGCCGGCATGACTAAACACCAAGGTGCACGGAATGCTGTTACCTTCCCACTGAAGTGGTACCTATTTATCTACTTGCAATTTCTTGCTTTTGAACTGCTAGGTTGGCAGGAGCTGGAATGCGGCACCCGGGTCTCGAACTGCTGAACTACCGACCTTCCATAGCCTGCAGTTCAGCGTCTTAACCACTTGAGCCACTACTTAACAGAAGGATAAATATTAAAGCAATTCCTTGTTACATCTAAGCTATTCAATTCTCTCAAAGGAGAAACCTGTGATACCCTACATTCTCATGTTGTACTGCAAAATTGTTTAGAACAATAAAAAGATAGCTTTTTTTTGAAAAATTAAGTGCAAAATGCCAAATCGTTTTAAAACTTTCCGTTTAACCTCCTATAGATCTCCTTTTATAAGAGAGCACATTTTTTGCTCATAGGTAGTCTTTGTATTACGCTACAGTTGTTTGTATTTATTCTCTTTCAAACACTGCATTTTTAATGAGTGAACTTAAAGGAATGGTAAGAAACCCAGTGTTGGGATGTATTTATTAATTTCTTTAAAACAAGAAACATTTTGGTTTTTATTACTGTTTTCTACATAGTATCTTTTTCAGATTAAGCAACTTTTTATTTACATGCCTTGTAATAAATCAATAAAAGGTTTCATTGTCTTTGAATGCTAACTGGAAATGTTAAAGATTTGCTCTTTTGATGGCTATCTTTATTTTTCATGAGGAAAATTTTTGATTTGCAGATTGGTCTAATGCAGGGGTCCTGAAGTTTTGATTTGCAGATTGGTCTAGTGCAGGGGCCCTCACCCTCTTTGAGCCTGTGGGCAGTTTTGGAATTCTGATACCGGATGGTGGGCACAACCACAAAATGGCTGCAACAGGAGGCAGAGCCAACCACAAAATGGCCACCACGAGAGATGCAGCCAGCTACAACATGGCTGACACAGGAAGCAGAGCCCCACACATATACAGAGGAAGTCCAAGTGCAGTGAACAAGAGAAGTAATTTTTTTAAACACCCCGGAAAAGAAGAGTGAGGGAGAAAATAAAGCCAACACTGTGGAGGCAGGTCCCTCAGAAACAACATTATTTTAATCTGCATAGCCAATTGGATACTCAATAGCCAATCAGAAGCCCTGCTGGTAGAAGCCCCACCCACTTTCTATAAACACTTAGTCGGCACCGGGAAAAGTGTTGGCGGGTACCATTTGGCGGAACCTTGGTCTAATGGGTGGCTATCAAACATGTTGGCCTGAGCTACAGATAGTAGCTTGGAAGTCTATTTGTTACCAGAAATTCTCCCCTCTCCAAAAAGGTGCAGGAAAATAGCAGGAGGAGCTGGCCAGGATTTCAGAGGAGTATGAATTGTGAAATGAACTGGAGGAGGGGGAGTCTTCATAGCTCAATTTACCTTAGAAGAAAAAGTGATTTTATATTTATTTATGACATTGTTTCTCTTCCACTTTTCCCAAGGTGACTCTCCCCCACACCATTTCTTAACAAGCATAATTCTATGAAGTCATATGTGTCCATATCATTTCCCCCTAAACTGAAGTGTCACATGCCTTACTTTCCTTCTAGTAATGTGCCCCAATTCCTTGATCAAATTAGTTACTTTTGTCTGTATCTTTTCCAGCATTGCAAAGTCCTTTCTGGGATGGAAAGACCAGATTCATACATAGTATTCCATGCACAGTATGGGCATGTCCCATAGACTTACAAAAAAGTATACCGAATAATGCACTTTTAATGCACTTTTAATGCACTTCAAAAATCATTTGCATGTGTATTTTTGCTATGTTTCACTCAGTAAAATCTAGTTGCAAAGTAATTGAAAGTGGGTGGAAAGTACATTATTCAGCATGTGTGAAAGGAGTAGCAGCATAGAATATCCCATAGTAAAGACTGGCTGAATTAATGCAGATCAGGTAAATTATGTTCCTATGTGGAATTCATTGACAGAGGATGTAGTGATAGCCCCAAGCTCAGGCAGCTTTAAGAGGGAATTAGATTCATGGAGCGCAGGTCCATCAATGGCTACTAGCCACGAGAGGTAAAGGGAACCATCATATACAGAGGCAGCAAACCTCTGAATACCAGTGCTAGGAGGCAGCATCAGGGTAAGGCCTTGACCTCTATGCCGTGTCTGTTGGCCCTCCAGGGCAACTGGTTGGAAATTTGATTGGAAATTTGAATTTTTGAATGATGCCAGATAGCTAACAGGCCTTAACAGAATTACAAAATATTAAAACAGATTCCATTGTATCTTCAGTAAGAATCAGACAGTAGGTGATGTGAAAGACATCAGCTTGAGACCTTGGAGAGCCACTGCCATTCAGAGTAGACAATAGTGATCTTAATACACCAATATTCAGTATTAAGGCAACTTCATGTGTTCATGGCCCAAGGTCACGCACTTTGCTTCTTGGCAAAGTGGGGATTTGAACCCAGGTATCCCAGAACTGGATGGCCCAGGTTACCTTGATGTCGTCAGATCTCAGACCACCAAGGAAGTCCAAGGTTGCTATGCAGAGGCAGGCAATGACAAACCACTTCTGAATGTCTTTGGCCTTCAAAGTAGGGCTGCCAAGTGGGGGCGGGTGGCAGGTAAACCCCTGCTTTGGAGGCCCAATTTCCGCCGCCACGGAATCGGGCCCCGGGGGGAACTTTGCCCCCCAAAGCGCAGTGTCACAGGAAGTGACATGCACGTCAACCACGTTGGGGGCGTGGCCCGGATCGTCAGAGGGAAAACTCTATGGTTTTCCCTCCGACGATCGTGGCCACGCCCTCAATGTGATCGACGTTGCACGTCACTTCCTGTGACGTGCTGGCGGCGCACATCTGGGGACAGCTCCTAGAGCCGGCCAAGGCTCCCCTGCCGGTGAGTATTTTGGACTTGGGAACCCTACTTCAAAGTCCTGTGGGGTCTCTCTAAGTCAGCTGTGACTTGATGGCTTTTCTACCACCTTCCCAGATCCTAGTCTGAACTGGCACGAACCAGCTCACAAACTAAAGTGTGTCATGAATTTTGGCTGGTTCGTGGTTCATGAAGTGATGTTCGTGGAAGGGTGACCAGCACAAACATTCCATGAACTCTGATGCTCTTTGAGGCAGTTCGTGAATGGATACGTTTCCAGACAAACTGTCTCCACTCAATTAAACTGTTTACCAAACTTCAAAGCAACAGGGGGTACGGAATTCTCCAGCCCTGGAAACACCAATAGGAGCCCTCCAAAGCTTACCAGGCACTGCTGGCTGCCAGTAACAGAGTTCCCATTCTGCTCTAAGGGAACAGAATGATATATATCAGCTCAGCTCCACAGGCTCTCCTCTATTGGCAGTTCGACAGAGAAGCAGGGGACTTGTTAAAAGCAGAGCACATTCATCATTTTTTTCTGATTGTGAGCACCGCTCTCCTGCTGGAGTTTGGGTGTTAGATGGACTCAGGGCTCTCCACCACCCTGTCTCTCTGCTCACTCTGAGCAGAGAGGCTTCGCTACTCAGTACCTTGGGTAAGTGAGGAACCACATTTTATACACTCCTAATTGTGCTGGGGCTTGGGTGTTAGGTGGAC